CCTTACTGAATGAGGGAGGCAACCTAGTGACAGAGGATGTGGAAAAAGCTAATGTACTCAGGGCTTTTTTTTCCCCTCAGTCTTCACGAACAAGGTCAGCTCCCAGACTGCTGCTCTGGGCAGCACAGCATGGGGAGGTGACTAGCCCTCTGTGAAGAAAGAAGTGGTTCAGGACAATTTAGAAAAACTGGACAAGCACAAGTCCATGGGGCCGGATGCGCTGCATCTGAGAGTGCTAAAGGAGTTGGCGGATGTGATTGCAGAGCCATTGGCCATTATCTTTGAAAACTCATGGCGACTGGGGGAGGTCCTGGACAAAGGCTAATGTAGTGCCCATCTTTAAAAAAAAAGGGAAGGAGGATGATCCTGGGAACTACAGGCCAGTCAGCCTCACCTCAGTCCCTGGAAAAATCATGGAACAGGTCCTCAAGCAAGCAATTCTGAAGCACTTAGAGGAGAGGAAAGTGATCAGGTATAGTCAGCATGGATTCACCAAGGGCAAGTCATGCCTGACTAAGCTAACTGCCTTCTATGAAAAGATAACTGGCTCTGTGGATGGGGGAAAAGCGGTAGACGTGTTGTTCCTTGACTTTAGCAAAGCTTTTGACATGGTCTCCCACAGTATTCTTGCCAGCAAGTTACAGAAGTATGGGCAGGATGAATGGACTATAAGGTGGATAGAAAGCTGGCTAGATTGTCAGGGTCAACGGGGTAGTGATCAATGGCTCCATGTCTAGTTGGCAGCTGGTATCAAGTGGAGTGCCCCAAGGGTCGGTCCTCGGGCCAGTTTTGTTCAATATCTTCATAAATGATCTGGAGGATGGTGTGGATTACACCCTCAGCAAGTTTGCAGATGACACTAAACTGGGAGAGGTAGATATTCTGGAGGGTAGGGATAGGATACAGAGGGCCCTAGACAAATTAGACAATTGGGCCAAAAGTAATCCGATGTGGTTTAGCAAGGATAAGTGCAGAGTTCTGCACTTAAGACAGAAGAATCCCATGCACTGCTACAGACTAGGGACTGAATGGCTAGGCAGCAGTTCTGCAGAAAAGGACCTAGGGGTTACAGTGGACGAGAATCTGGATATGAGTCAACAGTGTGCCCTTGTTGCCAAGAAGGCAATGGCATTTTGGGATGTGTAAGTAGGGGCATTGCCAGCAGGTTGAGGGATGTGATCGTTCCCCTCTATTTGACATTGGTGAGGCCTCATCTGGAGTACTTTGTCCAGTTTTGGGCCCCACACTACAAGAAGGATGTGGAAAAATTGGAAAGAGTCCAGCAGAGGGCAACAAAAATGATTAGGGGTCTGGAACACATGACTTATGAGGAGAGGCTGAGGGAACTGGGATTATTTAGTCTGCAGAAGAGAAGAATGAGGGGGGATTTGATAGCTGCTTTCAACTACCTGAAAGGGGGTTCCAAAGAGGATGGATCTAGACTGTTCCCAGTGGTAGCAGATGAGAGAACGAGGAGTAATGGTCTCAAGTTGCAGTGGGGGAGGTTTAGGTTGGATATTAGGAAACACTTTTTCCACTAGGAGGGTGATGAAACCCTGGAATGCGTTACTTAGGGAGGTGGTGGAATCTGCTTCCTTAGAAGTTTAAGGTCAGGCTTGACAAAGGCCTGGCTGGGATGATATAGTTGGGGATTGGTCCTGCTTTGAGCAGGGGGTTGGACTAGATGCACCTGCTGCACCTCCGGGTTTGGGTGGAAGGGCTCATGTTGCCTCTTGTCAATGTCTATGCCCTGGCATCCAGCCTGGAGCTAGCATGTTTCTTTCAGCAGGCGTCCCTCTTCCTCAGTTCTTTGGATCCTCCGAGAGCGTAAGTGCCCAAGGGGGGAAAAAAAGGGGTACCGCTTTTCCCCCATCCACCCCTGGAATTGTGCTGCCCCAAGCACGTGTTTGCTTTCCTGGTGCCTAGAGCCGGACCTGACAACCATGGATAAGTTTGTGATAAGAACCAGCAGATTACAAGAAGAGGTAATTGATGAAAAAATTGCCCGGTTTGTTTATGCAACAAACTCTCGTTTCCGTATGATTGAGAACCCACACTTCATTAACATGGTTCAGTCATTAAGACCAGGATACAGTCCACCGAACAGAGCAGATGTTGCAGCCAAATCGCTGGATAAACTGGAGGAAAGAAATTGAGCAGTGTGCAAAAGGTCTAGAGGGTGAAATTGTTAACCTGAGTCTTGATGGGTGGAGCAATGTCCATAATGATCCTGTTGTATGTGCTTCTGTGACAACAGAAGAAGGGAATGTCTTCCTTACAGAAACAATTGATACATTAGGAAATGCACACACAGCAGAATACTTACAAGAAGTAGCAGTAAAAGCTATAACAAACTGTGAAAAACAATTCAAATGTCTAGTACGCAGCTTGGTCACAGAAAATGCTGCAAATGTATCCAAGATGAGAAGAAATTTAGAAGAGAATGAAGAGAGTCCCCAGCTAACATACGGTTGCAGTGCTCATTTGATGCACCTCCTAGCCAAAGACTTCAGTGTTCCAGAAATAAAGGCTAATGTTGTTGAAATTGCAAAATACTTCCGTAACACCATTTTGCAGCAGTTGCTCTAAAAAAGTGGGAGGAACCAAGCTAACTCTCTCACAAGACGTGCAATGGAACTGAGTAGTGGACTGTTTTGAGCACTGTATCAAGCACTGGCCTAATTTGATGACAGTCTGAACAAAATCATGAAAAAATAGATGGCACTGTCACAGCCGAAGTTCTCAACATTGGGCTTAAGAGAAATGTTGAACACATGCTGAGCGCCCTGAATAGCGCCCTATTTCTGTAGCCTTGAACAAAGTGCAGGGAAATCGCTGTTTTATTGCTGGTGCTGTTGACATTTGGAAGGAACTGAATGAGATCTTAAAAGGGGAAATATGCAATGACAGAGTTAAATTACAAGCATTAAAAAAATGAAATGGGACAAGCACTATCTCCAGCTCATTTTTTCGCAAATATCCTCAATACTAGGTACCAGGGTCAAACATTAACTGCTGATGAAGAGGAGTTGGCTACGACATGGACATCCAGCAATCATCTTCCATAATGCCAACTATAAAAACTTCAGAGCTAAGGGTGAATCATTCAAGAAATATATGTTTGCTGATGTTTTAAAGGAAGTCACACCAGTGAACTGGTGGAAGTCACTTAAGCACTTGGATTCAGAGACCGTTGAAGTGATAATCTCACTTTTAACAGCAGTAGCTTCTTCTGCCAGTGTAGAAAGAATATTTTCTTCCTTTGAACTAATTCATTCCAAATTGAGAAATCGTTTGGGATCTGAAAAAGCAGGAAAGCTTGTTTTTCTTTTCCAGATTATGAACAAACAGGAAAATGAAGGTGAAGACAACTGAGTTAGTTGCAGAAGCCATTTTAAGTTTCTCATATTGAGTTAACTGATATAGTTGATTTAATTTGTTTTTTTAAAATATATTTCATTAACTATTTTAGTTAACAATTAACAAAAACAAACCTGATTTTAAAAAACTTGAATATTTAACTAAATTCAAAAATTCACATGCTTGTTTGTTAAATTATATGTTTGCTGTTGAAGAAAAAAAATCTAGAATACATAACATCATTGTTTTAGTTAACTAAAACAATTTAAATGTCTGTCTGGTGATGTTCTCCTAACACAGCAGGGCAAGAAAATCCTCCAAATATTATTGATTAACCTGTTGAATTGGAGATAGTTCACCTCCCAATGACTTCATAAATATCTGCTTCAATTACCTTTGGTAAATGAAATAACCAAACAATTGTTCATTTTCTGATATAGCTGTAAAACTAATCTGAAAAGTTTTCAAAATAAATCACTTAAGATATATAGTGTGTACTTTCTAAAAATGAAACCTATATCTCTGAGTTGTGAAGAATATATATTAAGGTTATAACACCCAACAAGAATACACTTTTATGTAGAAATCCATGATTAAATCAAGTCTTCCTGACTAGTGATTTAAATCAAATCGACACTGGAAGAGTTTCCTTTGATGGCTAGTAGACAGTAATTTGACGTTGATGTTCTCTTTGTGAAGAGTGCAGCGGGGGTGAGGGTCACGGAGACACAGGACTTTGTGGGCAGGAAAGGCACCTGCTTTCAATGGATAAGCAAGTACAGAAACCCCCTCCAAATGCTCCCAGTGAATGGGAAGGGACCTATGCCAGCCACCATGGTTAACCCAGCTTGGCACAGGGCTCCAGAGCTGTAGCTGCTGGGCAGGCAGGTACAGTGGTTAATAGGCAATAAGCAGGCTGTGCTGCTTGGGCAGATAGTGCTAGTGGGAGGATGTCCAGCAGCAATGCAACACACAGTCTACACTGTGAGCCCTGGGAGCAGCAGTAGCATGGTCAGTCCACACAGGGCTAAAGGAGGGAGACAGAGTGATTTTTCTACCCAGATGATGTGAATTGTAGCAGCCTCGGGGCTGAAGGAGCATGTCAGGCAGAGAGCAGGCAGCAGGGAATGCTGGCCCAAGCTGAGGCTGCAGTGGATGGGGCCCCCCCAACTCCCTGCTCAGCAGGCTTTGCTCTCTCTCTCCCCCCTCCCATCCCATTTTCCATAACATAGATGATTTTGGGCTGGCAGCATGCACGTTTCCAAAACTCCCATTGCACCAAGGCTGGATAAACTCATAGGCATGTGCCCTGGATTCCAGAGCCACGTGATGACATTGGAATCTCAGCTTGCATTTAACACAGAAGGTTTGTAGTCCTTCTGGTGGCCAAGGAAAGCTTGAGAATATGCCCTTGAGTGCAAGTGATACAGCACTGTCTGCAGACAGCCTCCTGCAGAGGGAGAAGCAGCCACTAGAGCCAGAGAGGAAGCCACCTGGCTCTCCACCCACCACCAGAAAAGACTTACTGCCATTCTAGAACTCCTGTCCAGGAGAATGAGGAGCTTGGGCCTAGCCGCTGAGCCTGGTGACATGTTTCTTTTATCTCCTATAAGGTGGAAAACAGGTCCTTTGTCCAGAAGAGCCTACTTGCCCTTCCACAGAAGCTGGAGGAAGTGCTGGTGGTGGTCGCGGGTCGAGCTCTGGAAGAGCATGAGGCAGAAGACGTGCAGTTGCCAGTCTCCCAGAACTTTGCCTTTTACAATCCCAAGACCAGTAAGCAAGCAAAACCAAGCCTGTTTCTAGCTGAGGTTCAGGCCAGGCCCAGCATATGCATGTGTGGCCCTTCCTTGCTGTCAATCTCTGAGGGAGGCCATACCCTGTAAGAACAATCTAAGATAATGGGAAAGTTGCAGTCTTGGTGCTCGATCCCTTCAGCAGGGTAGGGCAGTGAGTGGTTCAGGGGCCCAAGCCCTCAGGCAGGGCAGGACACCAAACAATCTAAAGCCCAACCCTCAGGCAGGGTATAGTCAGGGAACTCAGGCCCTCAGACAGGGCAGGGTACCAAACACAGTCTTGGGTTCTAGACTTCAGGGAAGGGTGAGCACCGAACACAGACTAGGAGGCTCCAGCAAGGGGTCGGGTCAGGTCAGGTCTAATTTGTCAACCCGGCTCTGGGGGGAGACAGGCAAGTACAGGCCTCTTGGCCTAAAGAGGGGGAATACTGCCAAAGATAGGGGGATGCAGGCCCACCAGACTCCACTGCATCCCAGCCCAGGGTCCTAACAGTAGCAGAGCAGTCTGCCACTGGGTCAGCAAGGAATCCCACTGCAACACACTGATCATGTTTCAGATGCCCCTGCAGCCAGACTACAGCTGGCTATCCCTGGGCTCCTTCCTACCCTCCTCTCAAGGTGTACTTGTATGTCCTCTGTCTCCTCAGGGTATACTGCCAGTGGCAATCCCAGCAGCTCTTCAGCATTGGTTGGGTCTGGCAGCTCTGGTAGCTTGGGCAAGTCCTCAGGGTAACTGAAGTCTTCTGCAGGCTCCTACCTCAACAGTGGGGAAAACATGTCCATCTCCTTTAGCAGCTGCTACCCAAATGAGTTACAGGGCCCGCCTTTTATACTTCCTGTTCCACCCCTGTGCTTCTGGCATGGTGAGAGTGGCCTTCCTGGTTCCACCCACCGGGGGGCATCTGGCCCTCCCTCACTGTCAATCTCTGAGGGAGACCTGCCTCTTTGCTACACCCAGGGTTACATCCAGCTCAGGCAGGACTTCAGTGATGCAGATGGCTGAATAACTGCAGTATTGGAGCGGAGTTTCTGTTGTCTACTGGAGGTCTTACACCACTGCCTTGTTCGAACCACTCTCCATCCCCTGTGCACTGCTGGATTAGTGCTAAGAAGATGGAGCCCTGGATTTGGCCCCAAAAGTTTTGTGGGCAAAGTGTGTGATGCAATAGATATGCAGTCTTTCTCTCTTAAGCTTGAGAGAGAAACTTCTGCCAGTTCCTATGTGTTCTGGTCTCTTCTTAGCCTCTGTGTGTCACCTGTCCAAAGCTATTGAGTAGGATCAAGAGGATGAACTCACACAGCTAACCGTGCCTTGGTGTAGTTTGTGCGGGGTGGGTGGGTGGGTGGGTTTGCTGATGGTGTGTGGTCCCCTAGAGAGGACGAAGGACCTGAAATCAGGAGACCTGCCTTCTCTTCCCAGCTCTGACTCTGGCTCAGCCACATCACTTAGGCCCTATAGTTTTAAACAAAGGGGCCCAAATTCAGGGGCTACCTTTGAAAATGTTGGCACCTCTTCAGTTTTCTGTCTGTTAGGAGGGGATGATGCCAACCCCCCTTTGAAATGCCAGCTAGTATTGTTTGTATAAAATACATGTGGCAGGACTGAGAACCAGCAGCTGAACTAGCAGTCTGCTCACTGGAAGGCCAATTAATTTCCCCGAGAAGGGCCTGACTGAGAAAAGCTGGGGCTAATTGCTAGGGAGCTAAGGAGCTAGTTAACCCATTAACTGGAAAAGCAGAAAGGTGCATAAGAAGGAAGTGCAAAGTGGGAATGAGAGACAGAAAAGGAAAGTGGGAGGGGCTAGCATGATCAGGGCTAGCATGACCCCTCTCTGGCAAAGAGGGGTGATGTTGGTATGTCCCTGTAAATAGAGTTGCTTCCCAGGCCTGTAAAGGGTGGTGGTCGAGATTAAAATAAGTAAACTACATGTCAGTGTTTTCAAACTGGAGGTGTGAAAGCCATTTGTGTGAGAAGACAGGGGTCTCATTCAGACCCTATGCACAAGAAGGAATGGAGTCTCTCAGTCATTGTCTCCCCATAGACCAAAAAATAGACTCTTCCTCCCCATATCCATCCCAGGATGCTGGATCCTGATTCCATGGAAGCCAGCAGCCAAACTCTCACTGACTTCAGTGGAGCCAGATTGGACTCATTTATTCTGACTATTGCCCATCCTTATCCACAGGGCCACTAATGGAGGCCTGAACTGGCCCTGGGAGGGTGGGTGATGAGAGCGCCCCACACCTCACGCGGCTCTAGTGTCCAATTGGTTCTAAAATGCAGATTAAAAACAAACAAAAAAAGATGCCTGGGTGCCGAGAGTCTGGTCACAGTTTCCAAGTCCATAACAAGCCGCAAGCTCCTTAGTATCTCAGAGGCCTCGGTTCCTGAGAGCGGTCCTGGAACCATGCTGCGGGGCCCTGTGCTGGTGGCTCACAAACAACGTGGCCATGCCAGGGGCTAAACTACCAGCGAACCCTTTACATCAGAGATTTAGACACGCACAGTAACCAGCCGCATTCATCCTAGAATGAAGCCATTACCAGGGTGATGTAATGCTCTGGGTGTCCTTGGCTTTTGTCATTCGCTGAACAGCTGGTTTCCCCACAGGCTGATGCTCTCGCAATCGCACAGCCTAATGCTAGCTCTATTCCCCAGGTGACAAGCCCATGAGTCAGACTTTCTGCAGCTTGGGTGTGGAGACAGGGCATAATCCTGGCAGACTGATGCAATTGCAGGAGACTTTGACAACATTATGTACGCAAGGACCAGAGCTAATTAACACACACAATTCCCCTGTAGCCAAATGAACATAGCCGGGTCTCAGCCTCCCCGTGCTATGTTGTAAGAGCCTGAGCAAATGTCCATTGAAGTCAATGAAAAGATTCCCACTGACTTCAGTGACCTGTAGGTCAGGCCATCAGACAGCAGAACAGTTTTAACACAGGTATGCTTCAGTATCGTACAGAAGAGATACACTCCAGCACCAGTGGAATAGTCAGTGGGTAGCCATTGTAGTCCTGCATGGTATGAGAAGTGTACGCAATCTCACACTTCCAGGCACAAACTGATTTCCACAGGCGTGGGGCAGGTTTCCCCTCACGCCATGTACAGTGTGGCACAGACAGGTATGGTGGAAGCTCAAAGCACTGGTGACTGCCAGAGGCAGACACAGGGATTCTAGTACATGTCTACAGTATCAGGGCCGGATCCCCAGTAGGTGTAAATTATTGTAATGCCACTGAAGGTAATGGGCCAGATCCCCAGTTGGTTGTAGCTCCATGAGGTCAGTGGAACTGTGTTGATTTACACCAGCTGGGATGGGGCCCACAGAATGAGGAGATTTCCATTTTAATGGCCGGTTTAGTTTTGATTCTTTAAGAACTGTGGGTGGAGCCATTTGGATACCAAAAGAGGAAAGGATTCCATCAGAATTACACTTGTAAGCTTTCCTCACCTATCTCCTACAGCATTACAGCAGAGATGGCTGAGGAATATTGGGGTGTTGTTTAAGGGAGCCTGCGTAACACTGTTCAGAATAGAATAGGAGCTGTTCTTAGGCTTCCTACTTTCCTTTCCAAGAATACATCCAGAGTGAAATGAATGGCAGTTGTGCAGTTCAATGTATTGCAAAAACTTGGTGGAGTTTGGCCAGCTTTTGTTACTGGCGAGCTGTAAAGACTCCTGTTCAATATTCCTTCCATTTGCAGCAGTACATGAGGATCTGGCTCCAGTGAATTTCCTAAAGACCAGTTGTGCCAAATAGCTAGGGGAGTGTTGGAGGGGGGTAGGGAAATCTGGGGAAGGGACCATTTTAACAGTTCTGATCCTACCCATTATTTAGAGCAGAGGAGGCATGTTGTCTTGCATTTCGGTCATATGTTGGGAAGACAGAAGCACTGGGAAGTATGTAGTGGCTTATGCCTTTGGATCTGGTCTAAGCCTTTAGGTTCTTTATGACTTTTCTGTGTTTCAGAAAGATGGATGGCTCTTCCTGACTTTCCAGACTACAATAAATGGGGCTTTTCTCTGGTGGCACTAAATAATTATGTTTATGTCACAGGTATGTAACTTGGGGATCTCATCCAACCCCTCCGCTGAACCTAAGCTGGAACCTAACCTTGGAATTCCTTGTGTTTCCCTTCACGTGTCTGGGCTGGTGGCCCCACAGGGTATTTTTTTCTGTTTAATGAAACAGAGAAAATAAATGACAAATTAATTTAATAAATGTTACTCTTTCCGTGGCATCCAGAGGACATTTTGCTAATAAGCAGCAACTCTGAGGAAGTTCAGTGCTATCACATTGCTCCTGGGCAGTAGTTCAGCAATTTTCAGGTTGTATAAGTTCAGCGCTCTTTGATTGATTTAATTAAATTAATGAATGGAAGAATGGCCCATGACACCACAGTGCCATGAATTAATTATGTCCCAGGCTGTACTTCATGCTTGGATGGTGTGGTTTTTCGAGAGAGACCCCCTTGTCTCTCTATCTACCATGGTTGGTACCTGCTGAAGTTCATCTCGCTAGGCCTGGCAGTAGCTGGGCTTTTCAGTAGAGGGTTCTCTCCTGTGGATTTTACTCCTTCTCACAATCTGCCTGTGTTTAAATTTGGTGACCTTTTGTTTGTTTGGACTTTAGATTAGTTTGTTTTTATTTTCTGGGGTTTGCTTCTATTGAGCTGCAGCCAGCAGCCTGTGGTGCTGTGTTCTTTGTAAAGTTGTCGTCAAATCACAGTTTAATTTAATGCCTGTAAAGGGGCCTAGATGTCAAGGCAAAAGATGCAGTGTAGGACCACTACCCTGGGCAGGGCTGACTCTACCTTACAACATTTTCTCTCTGTGTGTGATGGATTATTCTCTTCCTAGGTGGCTCCAGGGGGACGCAGAATGACACCTGGTCCACAACCCAGTCCTGGTGCTTCCGTCTCAAGGAGGGTGCATGGAAACTCATTGCACCAATGCTGAAACCCAGAACAAACCATGCCAGTGCTGTCCTCAATGGAGAGATCTATGCCATTGGGGGTAGGCACCATCCATCTCTCTGGCCACCTCCCCTCTCTCTTGTCTGTCAGTCTCTGATAAGGCCCTTCTGTATGGAGACACCCATAAGGCCAGCTCATTGTCCTCCTTCAGATCCCCTGCTGAGAAGCCTGCAGACCAGCATGCTCAGCATGCTGATCGCTCTGGTCAAATTGTTTCCTTGTGCTCCCTGTTTTTGTATCCATCTGTTGTCTCCTGTCTTGTACTGAGATTGGAAGCACTTTGGGTCAGGGCCTGTCTCTTTGTCATGTGTTTGTACAGCATGTGGCACAGTGGGGCTCTGGACTCCCGATGCTACTGCAATGCAAATAATACTCCCTGTGCTGTGCTAACCTCTCACCTGTCTCCTCTCTTGGTATGTAGGGACCACAGTGGACACGGTGGAGGTGGAGTGCTATGACCCTTATAATAATAGCTGGTGCCCCATCAGCCCTGCCCTGAAGTATGTTAGCAACTTCACTGCAACTGGATGTCTGGGGAAGCTCTACCTCATTGGCTCTTGTGCTGTCAAGTACAATGCACTAACACTGCAGTGTTACAACCCTGTCATAGGTAAGGAGAAGGAACAGCAACAGGAATTTTGGATGCAAAGGCCCAAGCCTCAGAAAGGTCCCTCCCAACAATACTGTGCCAGTCCTGGCACACGTGCATCAACGTGTTCACCTACAACGTGTGTTGTCCTGCATGAAATAGAACCAGAGCATATGTGAGTGTGTGATGCGTGAGTTATGTTTGTGTCAGCCTGTTCATCTCGAATCAGGGGCCAGGGAACGTGGTGCCCATTGTGCAGCAGGAAGCAAGGATTCCTGCTGAGAGACGCTGTAAATTCGGCACTCATTCTGTGTCAAGACCTAAATTCTTTAACTTGGGGTGACTTGGCATAGCTCCATTGCCCTCCATGGAACGATACTGATTTCCACCAGCTTAGGGTTGGTGCTTTGTTCCCTTAGGTACGGTAAAACTCCAAACAGTTGCTGCCCGTTTCATGTAGCCATTTCCAGTTATTTAAAACATACAAGACATTGAACTGTCTCTGGTAATTTACTTACATGGAGTTTCATAAGACCCAGTATGAGAACATTAGTGAGCATGAACCAAATTTAAATGAGGTAAAAGTGCTACCTACACAGTGATTTAGAGTATTATGGATGAGCAAACTGGGTCAGCCTCAGCTATCATCTCTTCCCCAAAGTGAACCGCAGACTTGTGTTCTCTTCTAGTTCAGGAAATGTTCACTGTGGGCCAGATTGTGAACCTCTTACTCTCCCTAGTGAGTATTAACTTACACAAGCTAGGTCTATTGAAGGCAAGCGGAGGCAGTGTGGCCTAGTGGACAGAGCACTGAACTGGGACTCAGAGCTGGCTTCTATCCCTGGTGCTGCAGTTGGCCCATGGGTGACTTAGAGCTAGCCCCATCACCTCTCTGTGCCTCAGTTTCTCCATTTGTAAAATTGAGATCATGATACTGAATCCTTTGTAAAGCACTGTGAGAGCAATTTATTAGAAGCATGACATAAGAACTGGGTATTATTATAATAATATTGCTCAAGTGAGTAACTGTTTCCCAGGGGGAGTAAGGGTCTCACATTCTGGCCCTGTGTCTCCCACTACCATGTGGACACTCTTTCCCCCATCTGATGTGGTTCTTCATTGGAAGGCCAGGTGTGCTGGCTCCTTTGTGATTCCCTTTCCAGTGCTGCCACTAAGTGTGTCTTAGAGGGACAAATGTGCATATGACATCAGCATGATATGGCAGTGGCACATGACAATATGATGATCTATGAGCCTGGAAAGTTATTTTGGAGCTATTAGTGGCTCACATGTTTAGGAAACCCTTTACTGGCAGCCATCCTCTTACTCAGAAGGTCTTAGATACATTGCCCTGAAGTTATACAAAGTGACTGTTATATAAAGTTATACAAAGTTATACAAAGTGAGCATTAGAATACCTTGCGTAAAGGAGTCATATGACAAGCCTATGTTAGCTGGTACCCAGAATCAGCCTTTGCTCTGTCCCTAAATGATACACCAGAATGGTTAAAGCGAGACTGGTGCTGTCTAGTTCCTGTGAAAGAAGAGATGTGTCTTCACTCCATTAGCTGATTTAAATACTGTAGCCCAGTTTAACCGCATATGGACTCACCAGAAGCTTTAACCTTTGAAACTAGCACAAAGATAGATAAATTGAGACAATTCCAAAATATGCTCCCTCTTTTGCCTCTTCACATCCATGCCAGTGTCCAACTGGTCTCAGGACCACAGTTTGCTCCCTACAAGTGAATTACATGCCAGGCTAATGTTAATCAGGTCAGACAATGCATGGCGAAAACCCCTCATGACTGCCTTGCCCAAGGCCCATATGGTAAGAGGTCAGTTATAGGGCCTAATTCTGAGAGTATTTACACCCATATAATGCCATGAATGTAAATGGGTTGACTCCTGATTTACACCAGTGTAAGTGATATGGGAATCAGCCCAGCAAGCTACTATGGTGGGCCAGCCTGCTCTCTCCCGTCCTTGTGACTCTATCACCCTGTGACTCATTAACACCCTGTGATAACTTTATTACTAGTCAAGGCTCCTAAGCACTTTCACTAACTGATGATGGCTGTTTCTGGCAGATGTGTGGAGTGTAATCGCATCCCCATTCATCCCAAAGTACCTCTCTGCCCCGCGCTGTGCCTCCCTGCATGGAGCAGTTTACCTCATTGGGGACAACACAAAGAAGGTGTATGTGTATGATCCAGATGCTAACATCTGGCAGAAGGTAGGTGGAGTGGGTCACTGGGGTGCACCATGGTGGACATGGATTCCCCAGTGCCATGTTGGAAGGAGGGCTCTATTTGATATGTATGTGGATTTCATAGTGCCTAACCCAGAGTATCAGGACACCCCTTCTCTATAACCCTATGTTGGGAGAAAGCAAGGCTTGGTCACAATAGTTATTCAATCCTAGGCTTCTCCACATTGACCCACTAACATGGCCTTGGGTCAGACCACTTCTTCTGTGGCTTGTGGGCAATTTGGCCTGGAGGCTAGTTCCATTCTGCATTCCTTCTGTGTAAGTGTCTGCCACAACCATCTATTGAACTGACTGGGGTTGGAGTGAGGGGCCAGTGAGCTGAGACCCCCAAATTCATTTCCCCACAGCTCAAAGTAAAGCCCCAGCCATTGCTGCTTCTACCACCCGAGTCCCTGGCAATGGGACCCTCAAACAGAGGCTTGTTCTCGTCTCTGAGTGATTCTCCGGCCAAAGGGAAGCTGGTAGCTGGTAGCTTTGTTCTACCCCCCTAAATGCCTATCCCAGAGCCCCAAAAAGACCTGACTTGGAGTGAGGGGGCCTCAGGAAGCAACATGGCATAACCCACTTCCCTGGGCCCCGCTGGCCTTCAAGGAGCTGTGTGTTTAATGTTGTTGCAGGGTTGGGTTACACAAGATCATTCTGAAATCCTGCTGCAGCTGTTCACATGGCGTCAGTGCTCAGCTGACCAAGCTGCCAATACTCCAGACAGGTGCAGAGAAAGCCCTGCCAGTCTCTCCCTCCCTCAGCTTCCTTTTTTTCTGCTTATGAATAACTTTCAGTGCTCCATTGGTCACCCATTGGTTCCAGTTCTGGGACTGGTCTGTTAACTGTTTCAGCATAGAATGCACAGTTCTCCTTCCTTCTCTGCCTGTAGAGCAGAGTGCTCCTCAGGTCTAGGATCACCCAGCACAGCTTTAGTAGCATCATCTCTGACAGTTGCATCCGATGAAGTGAGCTGTATGCTCAAATAAATGTGTTAGTCTCTAAGGTGCCACAAGTCCTCCTTTTCTTTTTGTGAATACAGACTAACATGGCTGCTACTCTGACACCGGTCATCTCTGACAGGGGTTCTCAACCTTTCTCTTTCTGAGGCCCCCCCCCCCAACATGCTCCATGGCCCAGCTGTGCCACAACATCTTTTGCATAGGTAGAAAGCAGGGCAATTACTCAGGTCCCCATGCCACAGGGAGCATTGTGAAGCTAAATTGCTCAGGCTTTGACGTTAGCCCTGGGTGGTGGGCTTTGGGCCCTGGGTTGCAGTCCTGTGCAGTGAGGCTCTGGCTTTCTGCCCTGGGTCCTAGCGAGTATAATACCAGCTATGCATGGCGGACCCACTGAACCCTCTCGTGGCCCCCAAGGGGGCCCCAGACACCTGGTTGAGAACCATTGGTCTAGGAGAAGCTGAAGGTATCCTGATCAAGTGTCCTTGTGCAAAGTGGGGCAAGCAGGCAGACAGAATGGGCTGGTAACTTGGCTGATTTCAGTTACAGCCCCAGCTTTACTTTGTCTATTTCTTTCATGTCATCCCACCCACCTGTCCTGGTGTCAGGATTCAGTGTAAGCACCGCAACTTCTGGGTATTGCTCTGGTCAGGACTCCCTTCCCCCCCTGCCCCAGCTTTTTCTCACCACCTGTCATAGCCTGTAAGTTCCCAGTAACTGTCATTGCTTTCCAGGTGTGTACAACACCTAGCACAGTGGGGCCTTGAGCCCAGTCTCAGCTTAGACACTACTGTAATAAAAGTGATACTGATAGACTCAGAAAGAAGGGATAGGGCCTGTGACCCTAGCTGGGTCTTATGCCACTTTTGTCCTGTATATATTTTGAGGTGGGGTTATGGAAGTGGAGCTCCGGTAATAGCCAGCCACCCTGGCTGAGTGAACTACTGAAACCTACTTAGCCATGTCACTATGGGTCTAATTTAGCTGTTACTGGGGTCTAAATTAGCTGTTACCACTCAGGAAAGAGATCTTGAAGTCATTGTGGATAGTTCTCTGAAAACATCCACTCAATGTGCAGTGGCAGTCAAAAAAGCGAACAGAATGCTGGAAATAATTAAGAAAGGGATAGATTATAGGACAGGAAATATCATGTTGCCTCTATATAAATCCATTGTACGCCCTCATCTTGAATACTGTGTGCAGATGTGGTCATCCCATCTCAAAAAAGATATATTGGAATTGGAAAAGTTTCAGAAAATGGCAACAAAAATGATAGGGGTATGGAACTGCTTCCGTATGAGGAGAGATTAATAAGACTGGGACTTTTCAGCTTGGAAAAGAGATGGCTAAAAGGAGATATGATTGAGGTCTATAAAATCATGACTGATGTAGAGAAAGTAGATAAGGAAGTGTTGTTTACTACTTCTCATAACACAAGAACTAGGGGGTCACCAAATGAAATTAATAGGCAGAAGGTTTAAAATAAATAAAAGGAAGTATTTCTTCACACAACACACAGTCAACCTGTGGAACTCCTTGCCAGAGGATGTTGTGAAGGCCAAGACCATAGCAGGGTTCAAAAAAGAACTAGATAAATTCATGGAGGTTAGGTCCATCAATAGCTATTAGCCAGGATGGGCAGGGATGGTGTCCCTAGCCTTTGTTTGCCAGAAGCTGGGAATGAGCGTCAGGCAATGGATCATTTGATGATTACCTGTTCTGTTCATTCCCTCTGGGGCACCTGGCACTGGCCACTGTCAGAAGACAGGATACTGGGCTAGATGGACCTTTGGTCTGACCCAGTAGGGCCATTCTTATGTTCTTATGATATGTAAGTGTCATAATTAGGCTTCAGATTTAACTCCTCATTGACATGTAAATCCCAGTGTGATAGGCACCATAGAAATACCACAGACAGATTAAATTAGTTAAGATGTTTCTGGGACACCTGGGAGCTCTTTTAATAATAATACTGCAAGGCTCTCACCAGCACTTTTCATCAGTAATGCACAAACTATCATTATCTCTATTGTTTACAGCTGGAGACTCAGACACAGAGAAGTGAAGTGACTTGCCCAAATTCCCCAATAGGCCAGTGGCAGAGACAGGACTAGAACCCAGGTTTCCTTAATCCTAGTCCAGTACTCAGGCTATTCGGCTGCTATTGTTATAAGCTACCTGTATTTATTGGGTGGGATTTACAAAGTTTTCTTTACAGCTATCTGAGCTACAAACTTAGGCCAAAAGTTTCACATCTAGGCACCTAAGTTCCCAGTTAAGTATCTGCATGAAAGCAGTTTGGTTTTCAGAGGTGCTCAGCACCTGAAGCCCTCCCTATGGATTTCAGTGGCTCATTTGGAAAATGATTTATTTATTTTAATGAAAGCTTTAAATTCTTCAGTAAGTGCTGGGCCCCAGGGCATCGCTGGAACAACGTGCCAGCCCCACTTCAGCACTAGATATGATTGATGCACACAAGTCATGGCACTGTAGCAGGGCCCCTCATGCAATTCCCATTCAGCTCAGTAACATGGATGTCTCATCACATCTTAACAATGCTGCTGGGTCCTCTAGGAGCTGGGTTGAGATCCCAGAACCTCATTCCACTTATGAGCTCTTCGAGATTTGAGCCCAGAAGTGACTCCTTATTGCATATGTGCCCTGTGCAATTCATTCAGGGTCTTCCTTGCGAGTTCTCCCTGACCCCCAAAAGAGCTCACCTGGGTTTAGTGGGACTTTCAGCCCAGGAAAGCCAGCCTGGCTGGGTTATGTGTTAGATAGAGTACTTGGACTGCTTTTATGTGGGTTGGTAACCCATCCACTTTGCAGTGAGGACAGAGGATAAATCCCTCCAGTGCTGACAGTCCTCCAGTGCCTTCCCACAATTCACCCTGCATGCCCAGAAGGACAGACAAGTTCTCCCACAATTCACTGGGAAAGAATCCCAGAGGGGCTTAGTTCACTGCAGTGCGAAGAACCATGGGATGTGCCCCTAGAAGTCCTAGAGAGTGTAGAGCCAATAAGGGCTCAGCAACTGGGATGTGGCTTTTCAGTGTGGCTGCACACACCCAGACTGGACTAATCTGGATGTCAATCACCTGAGTTAACTCTGCACTGAAGACAAACCTGTTCTTCCACCCCCTTTCCTCTTGTAGGAAATGGAGATGGAAAGATGTTTACTTGCAGGATGTTACTCAGACCCTCCATGTTTCTGTATGCAGTACAGAGTTCCAACCAGGGTGTGGCGCCTGGTAAAGAACCAGAGACAAAGCTGGAACTCAAGCTGTGCGGAACTCTGTTTGTCTGTCTGTATATAATGACTGCCTGCTGTGTAAGGCAGCCTGGATTCCATATATTGTGATGTGGTGTGAGTGAGCTATAGCCCTATATCATGACTGATATCTCCTTCAGGTGCAGCTGCTTCACACTCTGCATGAAAACGGAGGCATGGTGCCACTGGGAGGCAAACTCTTTGTGACAGGTGGACGCTGGAAGGGCCTGGATGGTGACTACCGGGTGGAGATGGAAGTTTATGATTGTGCTAAAGATATTTGGACAAGGGAGGGAGCCCTGCCGTGCCTCTGGCTCTACCACAGCTCTTCCTCCATCTTCATGGATACATCAAAGTGGACAGAGCCCTTCCTGGGAAACCATGTCCAGTAGGAGAGGCTGGGACCCTCACTTAGGGCTTGAGTGGTCCTGCCCAGGATTTGGAAGGACAAAGTGATGGTTTATTTGTTTGAATTATCACCATTTTTGCATGTATTTTTGCCTTCATGTTTCATGTGGACCTTGGATTAGAGCAGTGGTCACCAACCGGTAGATCACGATCGACTGGTTGATCCTGGGACCTCTGACAGTCAATCGCGATCTCCAGCTGCTAAAAGTCCAGTGGCACAGTGGGGCTAAGGCAGGCTCTCTGCCTGCCGAGAACCTGGCCCCACGCCACTCCTGGAAGCAGCTAGCATGCCCCTAAAACCCCTGGAGGAGGGGCCAGGGGTCTCCGCATGCTGCTCCTGCCTACAAGCACCACCTCCGCAGCTCCCATTGGCTGGGAACAGGGAACTGCGGACAATGGGAGCTGTGGTGGCAGTGCCTACAGAGAGTGGCAGCATGCAAAGCCATGTCCCCCCACCCCCCAGGGGCCACACGGGCATGTTGGCTGCTTCCAGGAGTGGTGTGGGGCCTGCCTTAGCCCCGCTGCGCTGCTGACTAAGGTAAGTGCTGCCCGGCGGGAATTTTCACCCCTCTCGCACCCTAGCCCCCTGCCCCAGCCCTGAGCCCCGTCCCAGAGCCATCACCCTGTGCCCCCTCCTGCACCCCAAACTCCCTCCCACACTTCAACCCTCTGCCCCAGCCCTGAGCCCCCTCCTGGAGCCAGCACCCCATACAGCCTCCTGTACCCCAACACTCAGCCCCAACTTGGAGCCCTCCCGCACCCAAACTCCCTCCCAGAGACTGCATCGTGCACCCCCTCCTGCACCCCAACCCCAGCCCTGAGGCCCCTCCCAGAGCCAGCACCCCATACCCCCTTGTGCACCTCAGCACTCAGACCCAGTCTGGAGCCCCCTCCTGCACCCAAACTCCCTCCCAGAGCTTGCAACCCTCCCCCCCTCCTGCACCCCAACCCCCTGCCCCAGGCTCAGGCCAGAGCCCTCTCCCACACTCCAAACCCCTCAGCCCCAGCCCAGAGTCTGCACTCCCTCCCGCACCCCAACTCCCTGCCTCAGCACGGTGAAAGTGAGTGAGGGTGTGGGAGAGCGAATGATGGAGGATGGAGTGAGCAGGGTGGGGCCTCAGGGAAGGGGCGGGGTAGATCCTGGGTTGCACTTAAATTCAGAAAGTGATCTTGTGTCTAAAACGGTTGGAGACCACTGGATTAGAGGTAATAAACCCTCCTGCTGTACAGTGACACCTGCTGGGAGCAGTCAACATTACATACTGAAATCCCTAGGCCTAGCTCATGAAATGGGCTTGAAATACAGCTCTTCCATGGCAATGGTGGGTTTGATTTTGTAATTTGTCTTTTTCCCGTTGCTTTCGTTGCTAAGTCCTGTGAGGCTCCTGCAGGCTCCGCCTGTATATATACTGAGAGTAGGAAAAAAGATAACCCAAACTGATGTGGAATAGACGCTTGAGCCAAACTCTGCCATCAAGAGAATCCGAATCTGAAACTGGATTTCTGTAGCAACACAGGAAGCATGCCGAGTGGAACCCTGGTGAAGCCTGTCCTGTGTGTGCACCTTGAGTGTTATCGGAAGTGATAGCCAGAATGTTCCATACAATGTGTGAGACTCATTTTATTTAGTGGTCTCTATGCCATGGCCCTAACTAGTCCAGACCATTCAGACAGCCTCAGCCCAATACTGAGTCAGCTGCTGCTTTAGTAGAAAGGAGTCGTGTTTTTGCTGCCACCATCTGCACTTAGCTCTTAGTGATGCTAATGAGCAGAGAGAAAAGGGCCTGGTAATTGGTCATTTCTTTTATTTTTTTGCTGTCTGCAAGTAAGTCATTTCTTTCAAACTGTTTCTTTCACCTACAACCCGGGTTCAAAGCCTACAGCTGAGCGCTTGTCAGTCCTGTCTTCCACATTCACTGAGTGTTGTGCTATGGGGCCACATTTTGTTCTCAGTTACATCAGTGAAATACAGAGTGCCTCCACTGACTTCATTGGGTCACTTTGGAGTTACACTAGTGAAACTGAGAGCAGCCACTGGCCCATCAAGAGTCTGAAGACAGCAAAGCAATCTCTGTGGGAGCCCCTCTCACAGAGTCAGGCTATGATTTAGCCATGTAATCTCCACTGATGCTGCTAAATCCTCCCGTGCTGCTTTATCTATCACCCTGACTCAGCTCAACCTGGGATCACCAGCTCCCTCTCCAAATAAACCTCCTGGAGAAGGTTCAGAGAAGAGCCTCTCCACCAAAACCCTTTTGGGGTGGGTCATCCCCAGTCAGTGAGACCCAGGGTTTGTCTACACTGCAGCTGGCAGGTATGATTCTCATCTTGGGCCTGTCAAGGTTCCTTCCCCACTCTGAACTCTAGGGTACAGATGTGGGGACCTGCATGAAAGACCCCCGAAGCTTATTCTTACTAGCTTAGGTTAAAAACTTCCCCAAGGTACAAACCTTGCCTTGTCCTTGACCCCTATGCTGCCACCACCAAGCATGTTAAACAAAGAACAGGGAAAGAGCCCACTTGGAGACGTCTTCCCCCAAAATATCTCCCCAAGCCCTACACCCCCTTTCCTGGGGAAGGCTTGATAAAAATCCTCACCAATTTGTACAGGTGAACACAGACCCAAACCCTTGGATCTTAAGAACAATGAAAAAGCAATCAGGTTCTTAAAATTTTAATTAAAGAAACGGTAAAAGAATCACCTCTGTAAAAATCAGGATGGTAAATACCTTACAGGGTAATCAGATTCAAAACATAGAGAATCCCTCTAGACAAAACCTTAAGTTACAAAAAGACACAAAAACAGGAATATACATTCCATTCAGCACAGTGTATTTTACCAGCCATTAAACAAAAGGAAATCTAACGCATTTTTAGCTAGATTACTTACTAACTTACTTAACAGAGTTTCTGAGACTGCATTCCTGATCTGTTCCCAGCAAAAAGCATCACACAGACAGACTGACCCTTTGTTTCCCCTCCTCCAGCTTTGAAAGTATCTTGTCTCCTCATTGGTCATTTTGGTCAGGTGCCAGCGAGGTTATTTTAGCTTCTTAACCCTTTACAGGTGAAAGGGTTTTGCCTCTGACCAGGAGGGATTTTCTAGCACTGTATACCCTTTATTTTTATGACAGGGCCAATGAACACACAATAGCTCTGTTTGAGCTAGCACATAAAATAGCAGCGTGGCTAGCTGCCTGAGGACAGACCCAGGATCCCCAGCCTGAGTTGTGCTTGGGTGGTTGCCTGAGCCACCCTCAGGCCATGGTGTCCAGGCTGCTAATTTTGGGTGCTAGCATGAGCAGAGCTAAAGCGTGTATGTCAACCTGAGCCAGGAATTACACCTCCAGCTGCTGCTGACATTAGCAACATTTGGCACAATATTTTTGCCAAATGTTCATCGAAGCTTCAAGTGAATCATGGTGGTGTTGTTAAATGTAACATTTGGAAAATGACTTTGATAAAAATAACAGCAGACAATTTTGAGAAAAAATTTCGGAGCCTGCAAGACGGCAACAACTTTGAAATATTGCTGTTTTCTGCACCATTTTCCTGGGTTTTGAGCAGCCCATGGCCAGATCCCAGTCATCCTGCTCACAACAGGCTGCAAACCTACTCCGGGGTGGGAACTGACCAAGTGTGCGATCACGCTCCATGGTACCTCTCTAACCAAGATAATGGTGAATGGCTACCATACTAGACAATATTTCTTTCGGCATGGCTGTTGGGAGCTGACAGCTCTCTGCAGCACAGTAACAGCCATGCAGCATTGGATGTGCTCAGCAGAATTGTTTCAGAATGTTCCTAGTGAAATAAAAATTTATCGTGTAAAAATAAAGGGTGCAGTGTTCAACTTTGCGAGGCTCATGTTCAGTGTATTTAGGAGGAAAGGCAAAGGTAGCACTAAACCACCTTTATGTCTCCCCGCCCATCCTGGGCTGGCCAGGGGCCAAACTGGTGGCTGGCACAACTTAGAGGAGTCACAGGACTGCTCTAAGTTGCAAGAGCTAGAATGGTCCCCTCGCAATGCTGTTGCTGGCCAGACAGCAATAAGGCACAGCTGACCCTGACATGCTTCCTGTGCTAGTCCAGGATTCTGCCAGCTTTGGGGAATCAGTAATGGGCTCTTTGTGGCAGCTTTAAAGGCATTATGTGCTGCTCTGGCAACACATGGACCTCAGCAGCTCCAAGGATCTGGCTCCAAATGTTCAGTGTGTGAAGCAATGTTGCTAACCAGGTTATGATCATTTTAGGGGATCTGAGGTCCCAATTTGTATCCAGTTTAAGCAGGCATCTCCGGAGTCAGATAACTGGCACTAATGTGTCTCACCATTTACTCTTCTTACCATGTTTGCAAACTGAACTGAAGCACTGTTTCAGAGCACAGCAGAAAATAAACAGCTCTCCCCTGGCTCTATTGCTGTATTGTTTTCTTTCCAATGTCACTCCTCTGCCTGCAGCTCAGGGCCTTCTTCCTACAGTGCACTGGGGCCTGCAATGAGATGCTCGCCCTCTTTGTCACCTGTCACCTTTCCTATCTACTGAAACTGGAAGTGTGCCCTGCGCTGGCTCTGGCTTAGTGCTGTGTCTGCACTGGCCCCTTGTTACCAGACTCAGGTACCTAGTCCATATTAGAACAGAGTCATGGCCTGCAGGGCTGGCACTGTGCTCCACACCCAAACCACTGAAAGCTGCATGGTGGCAATGGGGAGAGAACCAGGCTATGCCCACCTCAAAGGCACAGGCCTCTGCCACATTAGCTGAAGGTGAATCTGCCAGTCTGAAACAGCACAGTGGAGCAGTTCTGATTCCATCCACTAAAGGGCAGTGGTCTTTCTTTCATTCCTGCACCACCATCAACCCACACGGAGTTCATGCATTGCAAAATATGATATAATCTGTAGTTTGTGTAACACATCTTTAATCCTACCTGGAGGAATCACAGGACTTTCACAGGCTGAGCACCCTGCAGCCCCTGATTCAGTACGGTCTAGATGGTGGCAATATTGCCCTTTCTCAGACAGAATATATTAAAGGATGTTTACTCACCACCTGGCTAAGACTTGAGATACTTAGGACGGAAGAATCCCATGCACCGCTACAGACTAGGGACCGACTGGCTAGGCAGCAGTTCTGCAGAAAAGGACCTGGGGATTTCAGTGGACGAGAAGCTGGATATGAGTCAGCAGTG